CAGCACACGCAGTGCTTCAGAGGCGATCCTGGAGTGACTTTTGCAGAATCATCTGGAGTGCATGCAAGAGTCCAAACGCCTGATCCGCATCTCTAATTGTTGAATCAGAGACTCTAGGGAGGGAGCTCTGGCAGGGTTTCCACCCTTTCCACAGCCCATTACCTTTGTGGTGTTGCTTTGCAGTTCTACCCAGCAGAGGTGGGGTCTCTCTATGACCTTTGGATCAGGGCGGGCCTTGTGACTCAGTGTGAACAACAACAGAATAAGGGGCAGTGTTCTCGTGTCAATCACGAGCCCAAGACTCAGGAGGTAGAGTAGGATTCTGCACTCTCTGTAGGAACCTGCTGCCACCACATAAGCAAGAGCAGGCCAGCATGCTTCAGAATGAGGAGCCACATGGAATGGGGCCCACGTGTCCCTCAAGGCCACCCAGCCTGTAGCAAGCTACCCTCTAACATGCCAGTGAGGCCAGCTTCCCTGACCCTCAACAGGTGTCAAACGCCCAGAGATCAGTACGCTAACCCTGTCATCATTTGAATAAAATTAACTTATTAAGCCACTGAATGTGGGGTGGGTTTTTTTGCAGAGACTTCACAGTTTCAGGGGCCAAGAGTATGGACAGGGATTTTGAGTGTGCTGGAAGAGGTCCTGTTGGTCACTCAGGCATGATGTGCATTTGACACTTTATCCTGAGGTCCACGTGAAGCTATTACAATGTTTTGAGCATGAAGTGGCACAATTAGGTTTTTGTTGTGGACGACTTAACTCCACTGCTCTGTGGAGGCTCCGTGGTAGGAGCTTGGGTTTAGAAGGAATCACGGCAGATTGAAGCTGACTTTCTTTTTCTTCCTTTAAATACATACACTGAGCTCCAGTTGCATTCAGTTGTGGGGTTGGTTACAAGGAAAAAAAAATCCTTCCATCTAGCTAGAAAGTTAAGGATTCTGACAGGCCCCACATCAGAGGCACACTCAGGTTGCCATGGCAGCCACGGAGAGAGCCCCAGCCCAGCCTCGGGGAGAGAGGAGGGGCCCTGTCCAGCAGCGATGGCTGAGGCTGCCGTGAAGATGGAGGAATGTGGCTTCCCAGGAAGAGGCGTGAACCCGAGTGAAAGTTGGCATCCCTGAGGGGCACCGGGAGAGGTGGGAAGCCGAGGGGAGGCGGGTGGGAGAGGGCAGGAGGGCTGGGCCCTGGAGAATCCTCTCAGGACTGAGGCCGTGCACAAGCCAAAGTCCAAACCTGGGAATAGGGCGCTGCTGCCTGAGAACTGGGCTGCCCTGTTGTCTTCCGGAAGCCAGCTCTCAGCGGAGGCAAGAGAGAACATTTCTGAGCAGCACCGGCTCTTCCCTGGAGTGTTTGGCACCCTGTGCTGCCAGCCTCCAGCTGTCTGTCTAGACGGAGCACAGATTGGACCCGTGAGGTACTGAACACTGTGATCCAGGCCCACGCACTCTCGGTGACTGGAGGGTGAGCATCCGAGGACAGAATCCAGGCTGGAGAGGCCTCCTTCTCCTGTGAGCCCTCGGGGGCGCGTCACAGCCATGGAGGCCTCTGTCTGCTACATCACCTCATCCCCAAATATGCAGTGTGCCCAGGCAGGCTTCTCGTGTCCTGATGACCAGGAAGCCCCGTCTGATCTGCTGGGGCACAGATCCTTGGGAATGTGCAAAGCCTCCCTGTGCATTGAGAGCTTTCACAGATGGAAGGCCCACGAGTGTGAGATGTGGACACTCACATTTCCTGCTCAGAATTCTATTAATCTCACCCAGTGAGCCTGTGGAAGAGGCTTTACTGAACTGATTGTGAAGTGTCAATTAGGCAAACACAATTTTGGGGAAATGTACCACACAACTGTAGTTGCTGTGGACGCAGAATTAGAACACAGAGCTGTTAACTCTAGACCCCACCCTCCATTCATTAAACTACATCCCCCTGATGGCCAAACTCTTGATTTTAGATGAGGAAAGAGGGGCAGAGAGAGACAGGGATTTGCTGAGGCGTGCAGCAGAGACTGGATCTTCATCCTTGGCTCTGGGCTCCATTCCCTTCCCCTTCAGAGAACCCTGCATTCCCTTTGCCACTGATCCAGGCCCTCCTGACAGGCATGGGCTCACAGAGCCCATGGGCAGTGGCGTCTGATTGCTGTGTGCCCTGGCCTCCCCTGTCACTGAACAGCTTGGACAGAGCGGGTGCCAGGCGTGGGGTGCTGTGGGGAAACCCTGGAGTCCATCAGACATTCCCACTGGGAGGAGTTGTGGCAGGACTCATGGACCTGCGTTCACTGGGATCCTCCCAACACGTCGTTGTCTCCCTTTCTGTTCTGCCACTTGAATCTTTAGGTGATCACTTGCCTGAGGTCTCAGAGAAACCCAGGGTTTGAAGGAAGCCCACCCTTCCGTGTGGTCGCCTACACGGAACCCCTGCACAGCCCCTGACGCCCTGAATCTGTCGCAAAGAGATGTCAGAATAACTACAGGAAGGGAGCTGCCTCCCAGTTCTCCCCATATCGTGCAACCTTCTTTCCTTTCCCCCCAGCTGTTGACCCTGTGTCTTGCCTTGTAAGTTCCACCCACTTTGGTTCCCTCCCATTCTGTTCCCTTCATGTTCCCTGTCTCACGGGGTCCTTGGAATGCCAGCCGTGCACGGTGGTAGACTTCTCTCTCAGTTCCTCTGAGCACCTGCCGCTGTGAGGCTCAACGGCCAGGCATCAAAGAATCAAGGCAGGATCAGCTGCTTACTTTGTGGGCCCCAGTAAAAAATGAAGATTTAAGGTCTTTTCCCCATAAAAGTTGTTAATGATTTCAAGGGCTAGCAGAAGGGCATTAAAACAAACATAGGCCCATCTGCAGTTGGCAATCGTGGAGGTGGTCCTGTGTGGAGAAGAGAGGGATGTCGGAGCTGCACTGGGTTCTGAGGATCAGCATCTCCATCTGTGAAGCAGGGTGATAGGCCTCACTTGGCAACTGTACATTAATTTTCAGTAACGCACATAGACTACCGGGAAATCTTAGATGCTGGTTAAGGAGAGGTTCCTTCTCCGAGGAGAGAATCTTGTTCAGATTCCTCATTTTGCTGAGGAGGAAGGTGAATCCCAGAGTAGAGAAACATCTTGCTCGTGTTCAGCCAGGTAAACGGTTTGTGGTGGGGGTCCCAAGTCTCTGGATTCCCAGCCTGGTAGATGGTCCACTCAACCAGGCCACCTCTCATCTCGGCGGCCGCCTTGGCTGGTTCTTCCTTGACTAACGAGGCAGGGCCTCGGTCCTCATCAGCAGATGGTTTGGAGACAGAATCAACCATCTGTAAGATCAGGCTCCACTTCCTGCCCAGTTGCTGTGTCCCATGACCGAATAACTCTGAAATGAATGTCATCCTTATCACAGGATGCCTGGGCGGGGGCTATCTTCCTCAAGTGACTTCTCACATGGTTCATGATGCAATAGCTTCTCTGCACACAGTTGCTGTGCAGTTACCAGATGGCTGCTCTGGGCATTAACAAATGGTGTACTTGGCAGTGATATAATTCAAAGCCTGTCCTGTAGACCAACGCATGGTCCACTGAGCTCCCTGACATTGGAATGCCACTGGCCATGCACTAGGTCAGTGCTTCATAGTCAGGACACCACTATCAAAGTACCTACAGGCATAAACTTTGGGGAATCATAAACCCCATGACAGATATTGTCACTCAGATCTCAGAGGAAGGGCAAGAAAAAGATCCTGAAACTCACAATGACCTGACTAGCTGCAGAAAGTCCCAGTGCTGTCCCTCGGGTGATGGTGGCCTTTGAGGAAAAAGACAGCTTTGATTGGTCTCTTTATCTCTGGGTCTTAGGAGAAAATTGGGAACTCCATCAGTGACATTTCTGAACTCTCAATTTTACCCAGCCAACACCATAGAATGAATTGGAAAGGAGAAAGATTTCCTTCCCGGACACTGGAGGCTGGCGAATCACATCACATTGTGACCTGGTGGTGTCCTTGAGTAGAGAACGCCCTGATGGATGGAGCAGAACCTAGCAAGGATAAGTGGGATGGCCCTATAATCTGTGGGGACCATGTTCCTGAATCATGGTCAAGTCTCAAAGTCATATAGTGTGGAGAGCAGCAGACGAGAAGTTTGAGTTTCTATGCGAAATTCCCCACAGCTGACGAAGGAGTGAGTACAGCTGTAATTTTTTTTTTTTAAAGCCCCAAATCTGTCCAAAGCTTCACACCTGCATATGCCATTGTCTGTCAGACACAGATATCGGGTGAATCCCAGGCACCCCAAACTGGGGATGTCCCTAAGGGAGCTCTGCCCCCTCCACCCCAGACACACTTTCCCTCTGGAGTCCCCTCTTTACCCACACTGGACTCTTTCCTCTCCTTCCTCTGATGGAACCAACTAGGTTCTAGAATTCTGCTGCTCTCTGCACCTCCCGCCTGAGACCTCCCGATGGCCTACCTTTCCTACCCTGCTCCCCAGGAGCCTCAGCTGTGGCCCTGCCCATTGAGTATTTTTTCTTTGATTTAGTGCTGTGCCAGGTACCTTCCTCTTGATAGCAAAGCGAAAGGTAGCTAGTAAGACACCTGGCTGACGGGACAGCGCAGGGAGAGTGTTCGTTCCCCCGAAGTTCCTGTTTCGGAAACTGAAGCTTCAGAGTCATGTGTGAGTGGTTTTTGGAGATGGGACCATGGGGAGGTGATCGTGATTAGATGAGATCACGAGGCGGGGGCTCCCACGGTGGCATGAGTGGCTTCAGAAGAAGAGGAAGAGAGGCCTGAGCGGACATGCCTCTCCGTCTCTCCATTTGTGATGTCGTCTGCTGGCCTCCGACGTGGAAGAGAGGCCTTCACCGGATGCAGCCCCCCACCCTGGACTCCCAGTCTCTGCAAATGAAGAAATGAGTTTCTTTCTTTTCTTTTCTTTTCTTTTTTTTTTTTTTTTTCATAATTTACCCATCTCAGTCTCCTGACCACAGAAATGGTCTAAGACACCAGGAAGCTGAAGAACAGATAGTTTAAAGAACTTCTCCAAACTCATGCAGGTGCTGGGTGAGGAAGCAGGGGTTTGTCTATTTCCAGAGACTTCGTTTGGCCGCTAAGTTATTATTTGGGGCTAAATTATGTCCCTCACAGCCCTCCAGTTCAGATGTCAAAGTCCTAATCCCCAGTGTCTCAGCAAGTGACAATAGAGGATTGTTCTTTAAGGAAGCCACGAGTTGAAGTGGGCTCTCTAGGGTGGGTCTTAATCTGAAGAGGGGCCCTTATCCAAAGAGTAAGTCTGGGTAGACACACGTCCGCACAGAGGAAAGAACACAGCAGGACACAGCAGAGGGGGGACAGCCCTGGGGAGAAGCCTCGGAAGGAACCGAACCTGCCCCAGCTTGATCGTGGAGCCCAGCTTCCTGAACTGTGCGGCTGGAACCACCTGTGTGGGGCACCTGTCACGGCACCTGTCACCGCAGCCCAGCCAACCAGCTGTGTTGCCTCTCGTGGCACCCGGACTTCTTTAGCACGACACAGTCTCCCCAGAGGGTGGAGCTGCCTTCTCCTGGTCCCCTGGCTCCTGCAGCTGACAGCCAGGTGTCCAGGCGTGCTGAGGGGTGGCCCTGGGTCCCAGGCTTCTCGTTGTTCCAAGACTTTCCATGGGGTTCCCGCCGCGGCTTGCTTTGTCACCTGAAGGCTTCCAGCCACCCTCTCAATTCCAACTCGGGTGTCACATCTCCTCTGACGCTCACCCGACCCTCTGTTTGGACGTCCATTTAGTTGAGTCCCTCCCCACTGCCCCCGCACCGGCACCTTGTGGGGGAATCTGTTCCAACCGTGGTCCCGCACCGTTTCGTCACAGGGTCCTCAACGCCCACCTAGGGAGGACAGAGGCCATGCTGGCATGGCCCTTCCATCCAGAGGCCGTGCCTGCGGGAGGCTCAGCAGTGCTCACCACGGCGGGGGTCAGCTCCAGAGAAGGCCACCAACCTGCTGGAGAAGCTGAGGCCGGAGGACTGGTGAGGAAGGGAAGAGATGGGGAGGGAGCAGGAAATTACAGGTAGGGAGCACCGCGGCAGCCAGGCAGGACAAGGGCTGCCTAGGGCCTGAATGAAATATGGAAGCCATAAATCATTATCCAAAGAATAAGACATGCATTTTCAGCAATATTCACAATTTTCAATACATGGAAGCAACAAGTGTTCATCAACAGGTAAATGAATAGGGCTGGGGACGTAGCTCAGTTGGTAGAGTGCTTGCCTGGCATTCACAAGGCCCTGAGTTAAAACCCCACACACACACACACACACACACACACACACACACACACACAGCAGATAAATGAGTAAAGAACATGCAGTATATATTGCAGTGTGCATGTACAAGCATGTAGCAACAAATATCACAATTATGTATAACTATGCTGCATCAATAAACCATGAAAAAAACATGCAGTATATACCACAATGGAATACTATACTTCCCTAAAAAGGAGAAAATCATGACATTTGCAACAACTTGAGTGGAACTGGCAGACAGTAAGAGAAGTGAAATGATCTGGATCCAGATACAGAAAGACAAACACTAGGATCTTATTTGTATATGGAGTATAAAAAAGTCCATCTCATAGCAACAACCTCTCCAGAGACCGGTTGGAGAGCAGGAGGGCCCAGGAAAGAGAGGTGCAGGAGAAGAGGTTTCCCCCAAGCTGCAGGAATGAGTGATAAGGATTGATGGCACTGCATGGTGACTGCAGTTAATTATCATGTATTTTAAATTTCAAAATCACTTTGAAAAGGAGATTTTTAATATTCTTAACAAAAAAAGATAAGATGATGAGATGATGGATATGTTAATTATCTTGAATCTTTCTATAATGTACACATCGATCAAAACATCACTTCCTACTCCACAAGCATTCACGATTATTATTTATCAATTAAAATAAAGTGAAAAGCAGAGAATAAATGCATGAATGACTCAGTAAGAAGTGAACGATTGAGGAATGACACCAGTCTCCCGTATCAGTCAGGGCCTGGGTTGTGAGCATCGGAAGCCCCTGCAGCTACTTAGGAAGGGAGTTTACTGGGAGACCAAGGGGAAGCTGCTCAGGTGGGAGGACAGAGCCGGCACAGCAGGGACCAGCCAGCTCCAGGCCCATGGAGGAGGACTGCCCGCCAGGCCCCTGGAGGCCACTGCTGCAGCAGGCGGGCTCCACACACGTCCTGTCTTTCCGTCTCTCAGGTTCCCTTCCTATCTGGGCCGGGAGCATCCACCTGGCTAAGCAGGTCTCCGCTTCCCTGATTTTTTATCCAGTGGATACTTAATTCCCAAGTTAAAGTCAAGTGTCACTACCCAAAATGGGCACTAATCCTTAGAGAATGAAGAAAAACCCACGTCTACTACGTAGGGATTTTCAGGTGATTCACAACTGGCTCTTTTTTCATAAACTGAAGTGTATTTAGAAATATTTTCATATTCAAAGTCATGGCTTGTGGGTGCCAACAGCTGTTGTCAGTCAACCCACAAGTGTGCAGTGCACCCTGAGATGGAGGTGCCTGGGAAGCCACGCCCTCTCCAGCCCCCTCCCAGGAGAGCCTTCCCACATCCCCTCTGAGCTCTGGGTCAGCGCTACCCCACACCTGGGCTGCCTTCACCACTCCACACCGGGAGGGTCTGAATGCTTTCGTTTTCCCAGACTGATTTGACCAGACAAGGGTATTTATTTATGAAGATGCTTGAAGGACACTCTAGTGTTCCATAAAGGGAAACCTGCGTTTCCTTCATCTTCTCAACACAAGACAGAGGCCTGTATTTCCTTTATCAGTTTAGCATCAGAACTCTCTGACCTGGAGTTCTGTAAAGTCTCTTGGCCTGAGCTGGGCACCATCCCTGGCAGGGGATTCAAAATCCAGGAGAACTCACTGCGGCCATTCTGATCTTGGATTCTACAGCATCTTTCTAGATTCTTCTCCTGGAGGGGATCTTGCCAGAGACCTCACTGAGACCCCACCCCCTTCCCGAAGCACCTCAGGATGAAACCTCACTGACCAGACATAAAAACTTACAAATCCCACTATTTCACACTCTAGAGAAAACCAGGGTCAGGCTGTAGAAAGCTCAAGAATTCTCCTTTTGTCTCTCAGATTGATCTGCTGCGATGTTTACGAACTCCCCAAGTCCTGAGGCTCATCATTTCGGTAAGAAGCATCTCCCCTACAGAACACCGTGAGGAGGCGTCGTCTTTATTCCCAGGTAGGTTCTGGGTGTCTTTGTTTCTGACTTTGTCCGTGTGCTGCTCAGTGAGGTATCCAAGCTCTGGCCCTGGCTTGCCACAGGGCCACCAAAGTTTACCCAATGACTCTAGACCTCTGTGTGTGCAACTGCATAACGGGGAACACGGTACTTATCTCACCTTTCCTTCTTTTTAGTCATTTTTAAATTGTCAGATCCATGTAACATACATCTTATCATTTTAACCATCTTTAGGGTACAATTAAGGGTGTAGAGCACATTTGTGTTGCTGTTCAAATCAGAACGTTTTTCCTCTTGCAAGACTGAAACTGCACCCTCTAAATAATAACTCCCCTTTCCCCCTTGGTGATAACCATTCTGCTTCCTGTCTCTGTGGGTTCAACTGCTTCAGGGACTTCAAATAAGTGAAGCCACCCGTGTTGTATCCTTCGCAACTGCCTGTTTTATTTAGCATCGTGCCCTCAAGATACATTTATTTTGAGGATTGTGTCAGAATTTTTCTCTTTTTTATGACTAAATAACATTCCACTTGATGTATCCTTTTACATTTTAAATGATCATTGAGAGGGAAGAATTCAGTGTGGCCACTTTTTTATTTGCTTCAGCTGTGTCTTATAGCTTTCTGGGCCTCTTTCCTTGCTCACTGCTTTCCTTTGTGTGCAGCAGGATTTGGGGTTCCAATAGGCTTTGATTGTCATCTAATTTCCTTGTGTGCACGTTCTATGTCCTTTGTGGTTACTGGAGGGATACATGTAACATCCTAAAATCACAGCAACCAATTTTGAATGGCTGCCAACCGAACTTCCTAAACAGACTCTCCACCTGTGGGCTCTAACCCTTCTTCATGTAGCTGATGCCACAAAGCACATCTTTATACTGTGGAGACATTAACGTGGATTACATTTTCTACTTTTATCCTTTAAATTCTATAAAGGCATGAAAAGCAGAGTGGGACAAACCTAAATGACAATCAATCTGTTTTCTTTTTGACCGTGTATTTACTTGACCAGGTGACTTTTCTCCTATGTTTTGTTTGGCTTCTCTTTTCTTTCTAAGGTTAAGGAAAATTAAATACGTGGAATCTCCTCGTCAATATTTTTAGTGTGGAGGTGGAGTAAATCTGTCACCAATGGTAGCAACCTCCGTGGAAATACCAAGGACCGACTGTTCCAGCTGAATGAAGGCGTAGACGTTCCTCCTCATGGGGAGGCCTGGGAGAAAGAGGCCACACTGGGGCTTCAGCAAAGGTCACCACTGACTGGCCAATGGGAATAGCCCGTAGCAGAGTGGGCCGGCCAGGCATGCAGCTTGGATTGTCCCCTGGAGAGTTCTGTGGCCCCGGATGCTGGCTTTCGTGCTCTTACTGCGTGGGGCACTGAGGCGAAGCTCAGCTGTGGACAGCTCGACTGGACAGTTCTTCCCTCCTTCTCACTGCTTCAGGAGGTCCCACTCACAGTCTACGCCACGTGGTTTTGGTTCCAGCTTGCTGTACCCGTGGAGGGTGGCGGAAGGGACCATTCATAAATCCCATCCTGATCTCGATTACTCATGCTCAAGGTGCAGCAGGTGAGCTGCTGGCGCCGCTGGACTGAAGCGTGGAGTTATTAAAGAGGAGCAGGAGCTGCACGTTCAAGGCCCCGTCGAGAGGAACACGTGTGCACAGGGCACGACTCCGGCAAATGTGGATTCCAAATTGCTCATGCCCCTACTCGGGCTGTGCAAACAGACTTGACAACAATCACGGCGTGCATCTAGCCTCAAGCAGAGCGCGTGAAGCATCACGGGGTTGGCATGATTATGCAAATGCTGTTTGGCAGAACCAGGGAGACTCTGCCCCTTGAATTTGTTGGATTCACCTGCTGCCTGATCTACAAGCACCTTAGGACACAAAGGCAGAACATTGTGCCTGTTACAGAAAAGAAGCTGTAGTCCTCCAGTTACATGTTTTCTTCTTAAGATGATCTTTATTATGTCATTCATACCCACAAATACATATTGTACCTGTTCTCTATGAAAGAACGATGTATCCAAGGTTTGAGACCTGAGTTGAAATCCTGCGTCTGACCTGAGCATACAGGCCCAGGAACTCAGGTCACGCTTAGTGGTCCAGATTTCTTCATATATAAAGTGGAGGCAAATATTGATAGTGGGTTGTGTCCGCTGAAAACTAAAAAGTAAATATTAAAATTCTCTCTCTCTCTCTCTCTCTCTTTAAAAAAATAAAAAATAAATGAGGTATTATGTTCACAAACACCTGACTGTCTATACTCAAGTACCTAATGTAGAGCAGTTGTTGAACAAAAAGTGAATTTTTCTTCCTGTCACTCAATTGTTTCCTCACAAGTAAACTATGGGCAGGCTCTGCATCTTTTATCTAATAGTAAAGCTTCCATTAGTATTCTGGAACTGTCTTCAACTGAGAGGAAGGTAAGGCTATTTGGGGATTCTCTCTGATTCTGTAGGAGATGGTTACATTCCTCATATTTTAGGAGGTATTAATATCTGAATATATTTATACTTTGTAAATGTAAATTATAAGGTATTTTTTTGTTTTATACATGTTTATAAACTTGGAGAGAAAGTTGAATTGAACCTATTCATCTGCATACAATGCAAATACTGGGTTGTCCGTTATAGAAAAGTGTTTGATTATCATATTGAAATAGCACGTACCATGACAAGTTTGTATATCTTTGTAAGGAAAAAAATCATCATCGCTTTTTATTTCTTCAATAAATCATTTAAACCTGGTAATTACAATACTGACAAGCCCAAGTTTACTAAATGGCAGAAGTTCAGAGCAATTTCACGAAACATGGCGATTATAATGACTCCTACAGGAAGATTCTGAGAGCGTCTAGATGAATTCAGTGCAAACGTATAATCTCTCTCATAGATGCAAATAGGTTCTCAAGATTCCTTGGAATTCAACTGATCCATACATGGTTGATCTTGACATTTAAAAATCATAATTCCAAATTTTCTCCGGCTTTAAGTTGTGTTTCTACTGCTTCAATTAGTCGTGCCTGTATCTTCAACATTTTTTCTTTATCATGTGATATTTTTTCCAATGTACTGAACGAGGTGGGCTTTGTCGAGGCCACAGCGTCAGGCGAGGAGGTGAGCACAGGCACAGGGTAACACTGGGGCGCATGGCCGCGGAACCACTCACCAGATGTCACAACCGCAGAGCGTGACCCGACGCCCAGCGAGTTTCCTGTAGCTGTTCGGTCAGCTGCTTTTCCAGAGGCCCAGGTGTCTTCTAGAGTTAACTTGGAGTCATGCCCCTGAAATCCAGAGAGAACCAAGGCGAGTGGGAAGACAGGCCAGGGCTGTGGCAGCGGACCCCATCACTGTCGCTGCCCTATTTTAGACAACACCAGTTTACTCAAGCACGGTCCAATTGTCTTAAGTTTTTAGTTTTCCACGTCCTTTAACCATGGGCTTTCTGTCAGTTCTTTGTCGTAAGCCTGTGACAGGGAGAGAGAGGAGCCTTGCCTAACGCCCCCTGAGTGGCAGACACACTTAGACCAGTGCCCTGGCCCAGCCCCCAGGGCCGTGCCTTTCCACCAGCAGTGACAGCTCTCGGGGAGACGTGGGGCTGAGGGGAGCCAGGTATGGCTCAGGCACACCAGGGGCTTTCAGCCAACTCGGACAAGACAGGACAGGTGGACGACCTCGCTCCTGAGGGAGTTCAGAATGGGCGCCTGTGCCCAAGGAGAAGGGGCATTGCAGCTGGCTGAGCTGGGTCTCTCCAGACCTGTGCCTCTGCTCTTACAAGCCATACATCACCACTTTTTAGATGCAGAAACTGAAGCCCCAAATTTTTGCCAAAGTTGCTCATTATTATCTTCCATTCCATGAGGTGGGGCAGGTGGAATCCAAAGTGCTCGGGACTATGGCTGCTAACTGCCCTCTCCTCTCACTGGCTCCGTCTGCAGGCCTGGATTTGACCTCACTCCTCAAGGCCAAGTGTGTGTGTGTGTGTGTGTGTGTGTGTGTGTGTGTGTGTGTGAGATACACATACATACACAATATACACATATATGCACATATATAATATAAGTAACAAATACAGTTTCCATATGTATGTAAAAGATTAGATGTCAGCAAACCAGCTTTGAAAATGATCCTTAACCTCTTTGCCATTCAGTTTCCTCACTTACGAAACAGCCATAGGTACATGGACTTCGTAGCATTTGTTGCTTGGGACACTCTCCATATCACATGCCCAACACCCATCTGGAAAGTGCTGAAGCTAGAATGTCCATTTTTTCCTTCCTTCTTGGAATCTGTAGAACTGGGCTGTCTTCTCCTAGCGCAGTCACTTGGTGTAATGGAACCACACACAGCCACAGCAGAGTGGCATGGATCGTTCACACAGCATGCTCGTTCCCTCCTGGAGATGCCAGTCCACTCTACAGTGATTCAGCTGCTAATTAAACAAGAGGAATGGGCACGATTTTACAGTGTCAGTCATCACAGTGACACTAAGCAGCCAGGACAGATGCTGGAGTTATTCCCATTTCATAGAAGGTCAAGACTCAAAGAAGCTTCCTAAGCTGCCCCAAGTCCTGGGGCATTTGATTCCACGTTTCCTGGCTACCGCAGAGCACAGCTGGCCCAGCATTCACAGAAAACCAAAGGAAGCCCAGGCACGAAGAAAACTGGGTGCACACGATCTTACCCTTTCCCAAAACTGTAAAAGAAAGGTTTGTTACAGGCTGATGTCACACTAAAGGCCACAGAGTACTATTCTTCCTCAAAAGCCACGGAAGGTATGCAGGCGCTGCCTGGGAACACATCCCCAGGGCCCTGCCTTGGTTTGGGGGCTTGTGCTCGGGTCAGGGAGAGGAGCTGCTGTCAGCAAGAAGAACCATCATTGTTTCTGCTCAGAACAAAACAAAAGCAACCCGTGACTCAGCCGTCGTTCTTTCAGATGTGGTTAGAGTGAATTGTTGATAAGAGCTGTTTGCAGCACTTCATTGAGAAAAATAAATCCCAAGCCATGGGATGGTTTAAGAGCTGTGGGCCTTATAAACCATGCATTAAGAGTGGAAATAAAACAGAAGACTTGAAATTTCAAACAGTCCTGGCTTCCAACCCAAACTCCCAGCCTCATTTTGCCTCAGTTCCAACCCCTTGGACTTTCCAGAGCACGCTCTGCTGCCCGTCGCCTCCAACCCTCCCTACATGGTCTCTGAATGGAGTGACATTTCTCAACGCACACACAACACCTACGCAGCTCATTCTGAAAACCGTGCTCAGTCATCCTCGGCTTGGCGACCCTTGTCTCAGTCTTGCCAGAAGTATGGCTTCTTTGTCCTGGACACCTTTTCCTGTTATATGTGTCATAAAGAATCAAAATGATGTCTTTAGACCATGCTACCCCACGAGGATGAGGGCAGGGTCACCCATCCCAATTGCTCCTACAGACCCTAAGAACCCAGAGTCTCCCATGTAGGTTTCCCGGGGGGGGGGGATGTATAACAGAATAAAGGAATAAAAACATGGCAGGTTTCCGGCCACTTGAGCTCTCTCCTGCTTCTGACCGACGTGGGTGGTGTGCTCAAGAGGACAAGCATCCAGGACTCGAGGCTTAGTGAGAAGGCCACCACATTTATACAGGCTGAGGATGCAACCCAAAGATGTTAATTCACATCTATCTAAATCAAAAGGACCCGGACTCTAATTCTTCTGTTCAATAATAGAACCATCCATGCTACAGAAAAGCTGTGGGGGATTTGGTGGTGAGGGCCTTGGTAACTTCCACCTGTTAACGGGTGAATGACAGCGGTCCTTGCTCATGGAGCAGTGGGCTCTGAACAGTAATCCTTTGGCTGGGGCTTCTAGCTCTGGAGTAGCTCAGCTGTTAGTGGACTGGGCAGCTGGGAATGGGCTCCGTCGCTGGCTCTGATAAATCGACTCCTTTATTTACTATTAAACCGTGAGCACCTGGCAGGGCACCTGGTCCCTTTTGCTGGGTTATGACTGGGACTCATGGGACATGGTCATTAGAAGAGCAGCTGGAATCTTTAAAATGTCAAGTAGGAAATTCCAAAGTTTCAGAAGTTGGGCCCAGTTTCCTTTATGGGGTAAGTGGGGAGGTTGGGTGGAATTAGAATGAGCTCGGAATCTGGGCTCCACAGGTTGAACTCACCTTGAACCCACACCTGGCACGGTTCTGATGGCTTTTGCAGGGTAAGATTTTGGGGTTGGGCCTGACAATGGGGTCTCCAAAGGGATTTTGTGGATCATTAATGTCTACCAAAAGCCCTGAGTTGGCAGGGAACCTACCTGGTAGAGTGGAGGAAAAGGGTTTGACATACCTCGGGTTTGATCTTGGATCTTGTCAATACCAAGACCTTGGAAAAAACTCTGAAATTCCTAAGCCTTTTCCTCACCTGTAACACGGGTGATAAATCTAGGTCAGGGAAGCCTGAAGATGGTTCTAATGGGAAGCATCCTACCTGAAACATCAGCCATCAAAAGAAATACTAGAAAGCATTCCAAATCCATCCACTTGGCTGGTACCTCAAGAACTGCAGTGTTTTCCTAATTTCATGGCACCCACATATCTGGTTAAAACCAGGTTTCTCAGCTAGGTCAGAAGAGCACGAAGATTACCTCTCACTGTTCTTGTCTAGATCACTGCCGGACATGATGTAGAAATCCTTCAATACCTTTACATGTTCCAAATACCGCGTTGTTCCTTCCAAAGTAAAATAACGTAACACTGTTAGGGATGATCCTTGATCACCGTGGTTCCATTTTATTCACGGTGATTTTCAAGTTTGGAAGATGTTCAAAATGTCACACAAAGTTGAGTGAAAAGTGCAAAACTCCTGAGCTCGCCAACGGGTCCCTTCATATCTGCTGAAAAACCTGAGAATCCTTATCCAAGCCCTCCTGCTCTCAGGGTCCACTTCTGTGGAATGGCATGAGAGGGTCACACCTCGGAGTCCTTGGGGGAATTCCCGTGTTACGACTGGGAGAGTGCCAGAGAGGAGCACTCGGAACCCTGTGCTCACTCACCTTGGAGCCGACTTCAGACACGGCCAACTGAAGCAGGCCAGGCTGCCCAAGATGGGTGGCAGGAAATAGCCGGCCAGTGAGGGGCATCGGCAGTGAGTGAGAACCGGGTTATTTTGATGCTAGGTCAACTGGTGGTCCCCTCCATTTACTCTGCACCTGTCCTCACCACAGGGTCCTCACGTTTTTCCGAGTGTGGCTGCACTGTCCAGTTTCTTTTAACTCCCCATTCTCCTGTCTACATCTCTCCATTGTTCAGCTTTCTCGCCCCACCGGGCTTCATGTCGCCTGGCTTCTTTGACAGAATGACCTACTCTCCCCCACTCCCACTGCCTTCTCTCCACCCACCCATGGCTTTTTGTCTTTAAAATGTTTGCTATATAGGGCTGGGGCTGGGGGTCAGTGGTAGAGTGCTTGCCTAGCATGCATGAGGCACTGGGTTCGATTCTCAGCACCACATATAAATAAGTAAATAAAATAAAGGTCCATCAACAACTAATAAAAATATTAAAAAATATTTGATATATATCTCAAATACTTTATTAATATATATTAAATTATATATATGTGTATATATATATATTTTTTTTGATTATAACAAATCTGTTCCTATAGTCAGGAGGATCTCCACATGA